AATACGGACCTTAGAATTTATTTGATTTAATTAGATAATATATGGGCCTGGCCCACATTAAATCTAACAAAATATACATGATTGGATAAAAATATATTCCGTAGAAACTATCTATTGGGACCATGATTTCTATACGTAGTGTCTATAGAAATTAATAGATATAGAAACTACATGCATTCATAGTGCACTTATACTGCAAGGTGCGAGCTATGCCATGGCCTGGCATAGGTGCACATTTTTTTTAAAAAAAAATTCCCAGATGATGAGACATAGGATCGCGCGCATGATTTCTGATGCAACTAGAAACAAGCGCGGCATTGCCGCGCGCCTGTCTATGTTAGGCCAGGCGCGATTACGTGAGAGTATCAGTGCAGAGCAGCAACTTCCAATAAATATATCTATTTAATGATGCAAGACTAATATTTTTTAAAACATATCTTAATTTTTATACAGAAATGTTATACAACACACGTGTGTTTTAGCACAAAAAAATACATGGATTTTTTTATCTCTTTCCCTCTCTCTTTCTCACCGGTGACCACCGGCGTCGGCGACAGCGACCGACGAGCTCGCCCTGGCGCCCACGCCCGGCGCGCACACGGCGAGCGCACACGGCAGCGGAGAACCAGCACCAGCACGTGAGCTAGCGAGCGAGCGCGGTGGCCGTCGGGCGAGCGCACACCGGCACGCGAATGCGCAGCGCGGGCGAGCGGACGCGGCGGACGAGCATGGTGCGGCTCCGACAAGCGGACGCGGCGGGCGAGCGGACGGCTAGCAGCCTGGGAGGAGCGTCGAGCGAGGCAAAGGCAGAGGCGAGCAGCCTAGGCGCCGGCGGCGGCTACCTACAGCGACCGCGATCTACGGCAGTGGCGGCGGTGGATCTTTGATTTATCCTTCCATAGAAAAAATTGTTTCTTGTGACATGTGATCTTGTGATTGTCTGAGGGTAGATTAAGGCTGGAGACTGTTGGATCTTAATCTTATGTTATAAAAAAAATCATGTGTTGGAATTATATAAAACACATAGTTGTGTAGTAGACAGACTACAGAAATGCTATACAACACACATGTGTTTTAGCACCAAAAAACACATGGATTTTTTATATATCTCTCCCTCTCTCTTTCTCACCGGTGACCACCGGCGCCGCGCGACGGCGACCGGCGAGCTCGCCCCGGCACCCGCGCCTGGCGCGCACACGGCGAGCGCACGCGGCAGCGGAGAACCAGCACCAGCACGCGAGCGAGCGAGGGCGGTGGCCGTCGGGCAAGCGCACACCGGCACGTGAACGCGCAGCGCGGGTGAGTGGACGCGGCGGGCGAGCATGGCACGGCTCCGGCGAGTGGACACGGCGGGCGAGCATGGCGCGGCTCCGACAAGCGGATGCGGCTCCGGCGAGCGGAAGGCTAGCAGCCTGGGAGGAGCGTCGAGCGAGTTAAAGGCGGAGGCGAGCAGCCTGGGAGCCGGCGGATCTGTGATTTGTGCTTCCATAGAAAAAAATTGTTTCCTGTGATCTGTGATTTTGTAATTGTCTAAAGGTAGAAGAAGGCTGGAGGTAGAAGAAGGCTAGAGACTGTTGATCTTAATCTTATGGTGCAAAAAAATTCATGTGTTGGAATTGCATAGAGCACATGGTTGTGTAGTAGACAGACTCGTTTTTATAATAAGCGGGAAGTTGGGAACATACCATTGTCGTTGCAATATTTGTGGGAGAACATTGATGAAATTTTATAGACAACAAAATACAAGTTTCTGATGCAACATCAGCTTGTCATTGGTATACCGATCACAATGATATTATGGAAATCATGGCATTTCAATGGACAAACATTGGTAACATAAAACCTTAAAAATTGCATGAAGAAAAATAAATAGGATACATTTTTTTCAAACCGTTTTTTTTCAAACGGAAATACATCATTCAAGAGTATATCTGGAAGAGCATAGGAGGTGGAGAAAGCTAAAGAAGCCAACTAAACAGTTCTTCAACGCTAAAGCTTTTGCCCATACCCAGCCTACATCTGTCTCAGATGGGGCAACCAAAACAACAACAAAAGGGCTAACAGAAAAGCGACACGATAGGACCATCACAGAAGTATCATCATGCAAAGACGGCCTTACAACCATCGGATCCAGAAAAAGAAACAGCGCCGACAGCAGCTTAGTCCTTCTGACGATGATAATGTTGTCTTCCAGCATCTGTTGCCCAACTGGCTTTGGCTTCTCGTTTCAAAAAAAAAAAAAAAACTGGCTTTGGCTTCTTGTTCAACAGCTTCACAGCTATCTGGAGCATAGTATTGACGCCATCCACCAGAGTGTATTTGTCTTCCTCTAAGAATAAATAGGATACATAAGTTGCGCATGCAATTCAATCCTTTGTGAACTCCATATGGAGTTTATGTTCAAATCACGGTCACAACGTAACGCTTGTTAGAATCAGTGTACCTCATTGACTAATCACTTTATCCATCGCTTTGCCATAGGTAGTGCAATGTGACCAAGTTTTGACGGAGAGACGCTAGCTGAATGTGAGCTGCGTGACCATGCTGCCCCCTCTGCTGGATCATTGGCCACTGCCTTTGATGACTCCACCGCTACCCTTGAATGGAGTTGTGGCATGGAGCACACAACCGATAAATAGAGCAATCATCACTACCTGCTAGAAGCAATTAGGCCATGGAAATTTCATCAAACAGAAGCAGAAATATCATATGCCTAAATTAGGATAAGGGTGATGAAATCCATGTGGCAAAAACTAAAATAGAATCAGCAAACTGAAATCCATGGAACATCTGAATCTTCAACACAATCCAGGCCACGACAATGAAATTGTCAGCAATAGAGCTATTGGATAATATTGCAGAGTTTTATGTCGTGAGTTCTATCATCGAAATTATCTGATATATGCATAGGTGTTGATAAAATGTGCAAGTTTGAGCATTGAAAAACCGGACTATCAACCATTTCAGATACTGAGTTGCAGTGGAAGCAATGTACTATAAGGCCAAACTTGTAAGATGGTGATTGCAAGTAAAGGGAGATGAAGCATCTTCTGAGGTTGCCCCAAACAAAGCTAGTCCTAATCCTATAATATATAACTACCTAGCATCAAAATATATTACTACCCCCAGCTTAAGTAAAAGCTATATTATTTTTCAACACTAAGATGTTTTTGCCTAAGTCCTAAAATCATGCTCCTAAAATCATGCTGCTGTATACAATTGGCAAGGGCAGATAACCTCTCAGGAAAGCAGTTCCTCGGATGTTGAAGCTCTGCAAGAGTTTGAAAGCACACCGAGGACTCAGATCGTACTATTTAAAAGCATGCCATTAAATATAATCTCAAGTGATCAACACAAATGATTTTAGAAGTGCATCACACATTATGTGTACCTCCTAATTCACATGGTGCTGCCCAGGCACATCTTAAGTGTTTTTTTTTTCCATTCTGCAAAATTCAACCAGCAAGTCTTTTAGTCAAGAAAAAGGCACATGAGAGGTGTTTCAATGTAGAAATGGATTGAAACTTAGTACGTCTTAGTATATTCTAATGAATCAAAGACCAAAGTTTTCTATTAGATAAAAAAGCCCTTCATATGAATAGTATAACTATCCACTAAAGAGAGCTAAACCTTGTAGTCATTTGATCGAGCACATGGTGGGTGTCGTCCATGTGAGTGTCCCTACTCCCTAGCAGCTACTGGGGCATTAGGTGGTGCGCTCTACGGCGTGGGAGGGAGCACAGAGGCATGGGGAAGCTGCATAGCGCCGGCGCTACTTGCCTTCTTCCTAATGGGAGCCATGCTCAGCTTCTTTTCCACAACAGCGACAGTGTGGATGCCGAAAGTCAGTGCTACTTTGAAGTAGCGTGGGCATCCACGGTTGCATCAGTTGGCTCCTCCATGTGCGGTACAAGGCCACGACAAGCTAGGCATCGTTGAGCGAGGAAGACGCTGCTATGTGGAGGCTCTGGAGCGTCGGAAATGTGTGGAGCAGGCGCCCGAGCACCGCGACGTGCAGTGCTACGCGCTGACCAGAGCACGGGGGAAATTTCGCATGCCTCCGAGGAGCCCCGCTGCTGCCTGGGTGCCTCCTTGCGTGGCCGTCCTGGTGCCGCCCGCAGCATCCCCGCACGGGACAGGCGCCTATGGCTCGGCCGTCCAGGTTGCAGGGTCAAGGCCGCCTCGTGACGACAGTCGCCCGCATCGCTCCTCCGTGTCGCCATAGGTCGCTACGTCGGCCAGGTCTACGTCTACCTCTTGGCCGGACGGATCTGGCTCGCCGGGCTGCGGGGGAGGGACCGGAGTAGGGAGGGCGCGGCAGCGCAGAGAAGACTGGGGAGGAGGAGCGGCGGTGGCCGAAGACGTGGGGAGGAGCGACGGGGGAGGACGGTTCTCGAAGCGTGCTAGCTGGACGGCCGGGTTGAACGGTTCGATCAATATCTGCCGTTCGTTCTTATATTCATATACAATCCTATGGCTGAGAAAAACGGGCGACGTGGCCCAATAAGATGCTCGAGCTTGGCTCAGGATTTGAAAGGAAGAGATTATGCGTGGTTGTTGACGACGCACTACGTTTCATGTCATGATCAGTCAAGGCCTTCATAATTTGCCCAACAACTCTGCAAAGGCTCTCTTCAGTTTACCAGATTTGGCGATAAGATTTTCGTATATTTATTGGAGCCGAACGAATCTTCGTCTTTTTGCACGCTTTTTTCTGGCATTGAGTGTGTGGCTCGGCTGGTCAGTGTAAAGTTAACGGGCCGGCACCGTTAATTTACTCAAGAACATCCTGTGTGTGTCCATTTTTTTTTCAGATTCCTGTTGCTTTCAGCAGATTCCATTCACAAAAGCTCCTGCCTTTTCACTGATTGGGATTGCTTATCAATTTTAGTTTCTCCAAGGATTTGTTGCTTAAAATCCACAGTTCCCTTACCATATTAGCATGATTCCCTATCCAAAAAGAATCAAATCAAATCAATCTGTTCTCAATTCACCGGCAAATGAGCAGGGACAGCGGCCGCGCATCGTCGGCAACTGGGGATGAGCGCGGCGGCATGGAGGAGGTAGCAGTAGCAGCAGGCATGAAGCGCGCCGCCTGCAAGCGCCCGCGCGGCGCGCTCGACGGCGGCGGGTCGGCAGCCGCGTGGAATGCGAGCCGGGTGGCGCGCGCCGCGGCCGGCGGCAAGGACCGCCACAGCAAGGTGGTGACGGCGCGGGGGCTGCGGGACCGCCGCGTCCGTCTCTCCGTGCCCACGGCCATCCAGTTCTACGACATCCAGGACCGCCTCGGCGTCGACCAGCCCAGCAAGGCCATCGAGTGGCTCATCCGCGCCGCCGCCGCCGCCGCCGCTATCGACGGCCTCCCGTCGCTCGACTGCTCCTTCGCCCTCCCCACCGCCGCCGGGGCCGCATCTCCGCCGGGCGCTGGCGACGACGCCGAGGTCAGCACCTCCGACACCAGCAAGAGCTCCGTGCTCTCGCTCGCCAACGCCCCGGCTGACAACGCTGCCGCCGCCGCTCAGCAAGCCAGTCACGCCTACAGCGGCAACGCCGGCGGCGGCGGCGCGTTCGCCGAGCTGATCCTGCACTGCTCCGCCAACGACAGCAAGCCCGTGGAGCAGCAGCAGCAGCCGACGCTCGCCTACTACGCAGCGCAGCTCCCGAGCGCGCACGCCGCGTCGGCCATGTCCTTCGAGACGATGCCACCCCACTTCTCCTTCATCCAGGAGCAGCCTCACCACGCAGTCGCCTTCGACCGGGGCACACTTCAGTCCAATGCCGCCGTCGCCGCGCCGCTGTGGCCGACGTCTCAGCAAGCGTGCCTGCTGCAGAGGTTCGCCGCTTCTCCGGCTGATGCCACCGGACTGCCGTTCTTTCTTGGAGGCGGTGCTGCTGCTTCTCCGGTGGTGCCAGACAATTCGGAGCCGAGGCTGCAGCTCTGGGACTTCAAGCAGGAACGGAAGACCTGAAAAGTGGCACCCAGAACTTGGCATTTCAGATGACTATTTCTTGGAGGTGAGAGTTTGATTTCCTCCTCAAATCTGCATAATTTCGTTCTGAGCAGCATTAGCTTTTCGTTTTAGAGAACTACCAAAAGTAAACAGCTCCCGAATATGACAAAATGGAAGGAGCTGGAACAAAATCGAAAACAACTAGTAGTAGCAAATTGAATTTGTGATCAATAAAGTGAGTTTGAGGTTTTAGGATGGTTTCTGGACTGGATGTATTGAATTTACAATCTTGCAGCAATACTATTCATGGTCAGACAAAATCCAACAGTGACTTCACAAACACGACTTGAAAGTTAATTATGGGTGGAAACAAAAAGAATTCACTTGCTTGCTTAGATCTCAATAATTTGTAAAACATGATGATTCATCATTGAGATCAATATGAGTTGGATGATGTTCTCAGTTCTCGCTTCTGGCAATGCACTAAGGTCTATCTATTCATTCAGCATTCAACGATTCTCCTAGAATCAGCTGTTTAATGGTGCACATTGTTTTTTAGCAATATAACATAACGTGTTATAAGATCCTGGTTTTCAGTTCATAAGTTCTATTTCTTACTGTTATTCCTAAGCTTATATTCATTAATTTGGAACTGTATTGCAAAAAAATCATGGGGTAGCTGAATACATTTGAGAAACAGAAATGGCCTTTTTAGAACGCATAAGCTGTTCAGTAGTGTCAGTAGATTGAGGTTTTCATGAATAACGTACCTAGTTGGGAACTTGAGATACAAGTAGTATGAATGAATTCTAAGCTTTCTATAAAAACTGGGTTTACCTGTAAAAAAAAGTAGTCTGAATAAATGAATGGTTTAATCGTCTGCATTTCCATGCTTAAAAATTAGAGTTAGAGGCTGGAACTAAAAAATAATAGCCTATCTTGGTGTAAAGAAGTTTCTTCTAGGGTATATGTACAGAAATAAATTCAGTGAATTCTGATACATATTCTCCAGTCTTGGTGTCCTGCATTAGTAACCATGCGTGTAGGCAAATTTCTACGCATTTTTGCTATTTTGGTGTTTTTTTTGTGGACATGCCATGACGTGTTTCATAAGGAGAAAAAAAGAGTTTGGGATTCGAAACAAAGACTAAGAAAGAATAATAAAAACAAAGAACCTAAAGGAAGGTAACAGAAGCAAAAGCCTAAATAGGAGCTAAGTGATGACCGGCTACTCCTAATAAGAGAGAAACTATGCCTAGAGCCTAGAAGCAAGGTGGTTTGTTGGTTATTAGCGATTAACCTGGGCTCGACTAAGCAAGCACAAGGCAAGAGATCCAAAATGCAGTACACAGCGACTACCCACCCTGCAGTTCTTTGCCCAACAATAGTTACTAGTGATACTACTTGATTGATCACACTACCATTTCTGCACTATGCAATGTCAATTACTTGAACTATCTAGCTACAATGCTATATTTACATATGCATCACTCATACCTGATGACGTTTTATGAAAATCTTGTAGGGCAGACCCGGTGCCAGAGGCTCCCACATGAGTGGGGTCTGGGGAAGGGATAAACCGAGACAAGCCTTTCCCCCGCAAAATCTGTGGAGAGGCTGCTTCGAACCCACGACCTGGTGACTCAGTGAGACAGCTCTCACCACTGCACCAGGCCTGCCCTTCAGTTTTATGAAAATCTTGTCTGACATTAATTATCTGTGCAGACTTCACTTGCTATATCTCATGCATTCCTTCCACTGACTTCCTGGCTGACCCTCATTTGCTGACACATTTGTTGTTTTCATTTCATAATACAGAGTGGACTGCAACTGTGGCTGGGACTGAAAGACCTGCAGAAACCAATGCATCAACCGCATCTTTCATTCGTCACTTTAACCTTTGTCAGTCGCTTACGGACTTGTTTGTGGCTTCTGTTGTGACGAGAAACCATTTTTTAAAATCTTTTCTTCATGGGTTTTTGTACTCTGGTAATCTCACTCAGACAAAACCTGAAGGTTGACTTGGTTGGCTGGTTGATTGTCACACGAATCTTCTGATTGTCGTCAGTGACTCGGTACTGAAACTCACGCGTGCACCAAATGGAAGCCATGGTACTTGCATATGAGGATTCTTAGCATCTCTAATTCAAACTAGATAGGACTATATAAAATGTTGGTAGCAATTCAGAATCCAAACTTGAACTCCAGCATTCTTTTCTGCCTTAACATCACCTAAGTGATCCTCAACTCTGAATATCTGATGAACTTCTGAATGTGCACCGAATCTCTGAAATCTGAAGTCCGGCCGACGAACTCGTGTCTGCACACCTGCCTGGTACTAGGTGGGTGGTTCAGAAGACTACAAGATATGTAACTGAACGCCAGAATCCAGCGGCATTTGAACATCTGTTCCCAGGGATGCAATGTGTATGAGAAACCAACGAGTTGCAGACTAGCAGTAGAGGTTTGTGATCAGAAGAACAATTCGGTTGTAGCTAAAGAATTGTGAGCGGATATCATATCTTCTCCGCGCCACTGCGGTTCATTGGGAACAACTCAACAAAAGTTTGGATTTCCTTTCCCATGGGTGGCGTATTGTCCAACACGGTTTCATTATCCGAGTCTCAAGTTCAAATTTCGTTCCAGCGTGACTCGGTTTACCGATCGAGCCATCCACATTCAACACAAGGTTACTCATGAACTGAGCTTCTGTTTGTAAACCACTAAACCTGCTGCTGGTGCGTCAAGACTTAAGGCAACTACTAGTCGATCAAACCGTGATCCCGTACATGCCAGAATCTCAGAAAACATAATCTTATGACGTCCTAAATCTTGATTTTGGTTTAAAAATGTTGAGCTTATCAGTTGTTATAGGTATTTTATCTTTAAGTTAATGAAACTCGTGTGTTTATTATATCTTTATTAACTTCATTCTAAAAAATGTACAATTCTTGTTTTTCAAGGAGTCAAATAGTTTTAAGTTTGACTAAATTTATAGGAAAAATACTTAAAATTTATGATACAGAATAAGTCATTACATTAATCATGGATTATATTTTTTATAGAATATCTAAGTCATACATATTAGCAATGTTTTTCTATAAACTTAGTCAGACTTCAGAAAGTTTGACCCAATCTAAAACCAGTATGGCATCATTTTTGGGATGGAGATAATATTATAATAGCAAAGATAGTCATTTAAACCCATACCACATCATTTAAGATCGACGATAGAGTTTGAAGTGAGATTTAGAATAGGCTAGCGATGCTAATCTTTAAGAGAATATTATTATTAAGTCTTATAATGAATGTTTACTCAAAAAAATCTAAAAAACATAAAAAATATAGTCCGATGGTCCACACTAACGTTCGTTACTTCTCAAGATTTTTAAATGTTCTTACGAGATAATCATATGCATATTATTATTTTATTATGAAAAAACATATTTCTTACTATTATATTATCGATATACATATGTCAACCATTTCATTTTATGTATAAATTTGTATAGACAAGGTATGCCTCCTAATAGTGCAATAAAGTTGTAGTATCATTATTGCACTAGAGTTTGACCATCGAATTTAGAATGGATTGGTGTAGTTGTCTACGCCTAAGACACCAAAATAATGAAAATATCGAGCAATAAATGAGAAAGGACATAAGACAAATATTGGCTCATCATTATAACAACCCCTCTCCCCCGGGGTTTTTAACTTGAAAAGGACACAAATGACTCTACCCACCCTCTCTATTTATCCAAGAGATGGAAGGATAGAGCCTTTTTTTTGTTTTTTCATCTTTTTGTCAAAGAGCTAATTTTGTTAGGATATCTCGATGTATACATCACCACATTGCTACCTGCCTACCTTATCCTCTTTTTATACTTTTATTGCTCTATCCTAGTCTTGACTGTGGAGACTCTAAGGAAGTTGGAGGAAATAACACTATCTTGGGTGGGCTTGCTACTTAGAGCATCCACGGTGGTTGATCTCATATGTCTTTATAATTTTCTCTATAATTTTAGTTAAATTTGAGATATTTTAATTCCTTAAGAAAATTTGAATAACTTATAATTTGAAATAAAAGAAGTATGTCTTAAAAAATGTTTACTACTAAAATATATTTTATAATTAATTTAATGATACTTATTTTGTATTATAAATGCTAGTAGTTTTTTTAAATATTTTTAATGAAAGTTAAAATTTGTTTCACTAATAAAAACAAGAGTTGTATTCTTTTATAGACAGAGGTAATATGGAATAAGGTGGACTTAACTATATTTATTACAAGTCGAGTCCTCCAATAATCTTCAAGCCGCACTTGAATTCTTGACACTGACAACATAACCCAAGCTAGTGGGTCCTTTAACCTGTCTGCTGCCTTCGTCGTCCCCTTCGTTGGTTCTCCCAAATGCCCAGATAAAGGCAGCAGCAGTTGGCGGAGCAGAGGTGTTCACTGGGCGGCGACGGCTGGGCGAGCGGCGTGACCCATCGCCAGGCTTCGCCGGCGACGAGCATCCACCAGGTACAGGTACGCCCCCTCCTGCCCTCCTCTCCACTCCCGCTGTAGTTAGCCATCATTTCTATTAGCAAATGAGAAATTTCAATTTTTTTCTTTTCCAAAAAATAGGGGATCCGCCCCTGCACCCATGCCGCAGGTCGAGTCGGCCGCTGCCTCGGAGGGGCCGCCTCTGCCGCCGCAGGACGCATGGGTAGTCGAGTTCCGCAGTCTCCTCCCGCGGTGGGAGTCGCTGCGCGATTCCTCCAAGGTAGATGCCCCTGTTTCCCCTGTGTTCTTAGGTTCATTTTGTTGTACGGCACTTTGCGAGACATAAGTTCTAGTTCTATGTATGAGATGAAGTGGTAGAGACTTGAAACCCATCACAAGCATATGGAAACTAATTTCACGGTCCTAATCGCTGCTCGTTTTGCTGTCCTGGGTCCCGGTTTTGCTTATCAAGTACAGAGACGAAGTTTTGAGATGATCTCGAGCTCTTGGAAGCACAATTGGTTGTCAC